ATAAAATTATTATTTAATTTTATAATTTCACATATACACCTCGTTACGGTGTGGTAATTTTCTTTGTTACATGAAAAATTGACAAAAAAATGGCATTAACATATAGAGTTTTTGGAATTGTAGATCTTTACTTTTTTATTTAAATACTTTCTTACGAAAGTGAGGGGAAACTAGCCAATAGCGCTTCACTATGCTGTGTTACACTGTTGGCTTAAAACGTAAATACTTCAATACGCAGTATTTTCGTTTTACGTTTCCTCCTCGCTTTCATTTCGATATGTAACGTAGTTACAAATCTCATTCGATAGAGTTTCTTCGAAACTCTATCTCAGGGCTTAAATGAGACGTTGTCTCATATCTCAAGAAACTAATTAAAATAATTATTAATTAATTTTATTTATAAATAAATAATTTATTTTGTAGTATAAATTTTTAAAATATGTCTTATATTTTTGAAATTATTACACATTGGGAGAAATATAAAAATAATAATAAAACAAGATTAAAACTTAATGAATATAGACTTATAAAAATTAATTATAAATTATATCTTGAAATCAAAACTCAAAAACCAGATTTTACATTTCTAACAGATCTTAAATATTTTAAATATCTTAAAGATCATACATGGTATATTGAAAAAAAAGAAATATTTATTATGTTCTAACAAAAAATTTATAAAAAATCTAAACAAAAAACGTTAAAACTTCATCGATTATTACATCCTGAATATAAAGAAGTTGATCATATTAATAGAAATGGACTTGATAATCGAGACATTAATTTAAGAGATAGATCTAATAATATAAATAATAAGAATCGTAAATTATTAAAAAATAATACTTCTGGTTTAAATGGAATTTCTTTTAATAAAAAAAATAAAACATGGATATTTTATTAGCGTGAAGATAAAAAAACTAAAAGTAAATCTTTTAAACTTAAAGAAAAAGCTATTAAATTTAAAAGAGAAATAGATTTAAAATTCAATAATTTAAATGGTCAAGATGTATATTAAATTATATGATTTAAAATGATATTTGTAAATTCAATTATAGGCAAATTTTTATTTGTCTTGTGTGATAAAAATCACATGATTAAAATATGATTTTTATTTGTCTTGTGTGATAAAAATCACATGATTAAAATGTGATAATTTCAAATTTATTTACTGCAATTAATAAAAATTATTTGAGTAAAATTTGCAAATTTTTGAGTTTTTCTCGTAAAAAAATTTTATTAAGTAAATTTTATATAATTTAATTAAATATAATATTTACAGATTTGACTATAATTTTATATAATTAATAATTAAAATTTAAATAATTTTTGATAAATTTAGTAATTTATTTATTTATAAAAACGTGATGTTTTATTTTTTTTCAAATCTTTTGTAAAAAAAAATTAGAATTTTTATTAAATGTCAAAATTTTCACTGTATGGAATATATATCATAATATAAAATTTATTTAATTTTTTTATTTGAATATTTTTTTACTAGTTTTTTTTATTCTTTAAAAAATTTTCAATTTTGTATTGTTGTCTTTTTGCAAATTTACAAAATTCATTATATTTTGTTAATAAAATTTCATGATCTCTTGATAATTTTTTATATTTATAATAAATATCATTTTTTCTTTCTTGATCTTGTTTCATTTTCATCTCTAATAATATTTTAAATACTCCATAAGTTTTAACATCTACATCACCAAAATATTTTTTAAAATTATTTTCGTTCCATGATGATAAATTAAAAAATCCTTTTTTTCTAAATCTTTTAAGATCTATTTTCTCTTCATCGTCTAAATCTGAATCATATAAAGCATCTTCAATTTTGTTCTCCAGAATATAATCACTATTAAAAAAATATTTAAATTATATCATAATAATTAAAAAAAAATAAATAATAAAATTCTTACAAATTCGTATCTTCATATGGATTTTTAAACGCTGCTTTGGTCATAGTAACTTGAATATCACTAAAATATTTTTTAAAATTGTATTCATTCCAATTCTTTGGATTGAAAATACCTCCTTTTTTAAGATCATTTTTTTCTTCATTATCTAATTGTGGATC